TGTGGCTCAGATCGTTTCACACCACATCGAATTATTGTAATTGAAATGAAATGATTTTTATTCACTATGGTTTATTTGAAATATAAAACTACAAAAGAAGAGAAAATCAATAAATGAATATACACAATTCATCTATCAATGAATGAAATAGTGAATATAAAAATGAAAGAATTACAAATATAAAAAATATTCATTTAAACAATTAAAAATAAACAATAATATACTTCAATAAACATATTTTACTCTATAACCCCATTTTGCACACAATTTTATTTTTTCTACAATAAATTTTGACTATTAAAATTATAGTTTAATGAATAACAAGTTTAAAAATAAACATATTAATAAATTAAAATAATTCTTTAAGACAAAAAGGTATTGATAAAATTAATTCGTTTATCAATAATTTTAGTGGAAGAACTTGTAAAAACACCAAAACCAAAATAATAACTTGATTAGAACAAAATCTAATTTGATTAAATCAATGACTTTTTAAAATAAAAAAAAGATTCCAATTTTATTTTTAATTCTTCTTTATATCAATTATAAAATAAAAAGGAGATAAATAAGTGTTAATAGTTTTATTTTCTATTGTCCCTTGCTCAGATGAGATGAGTAATCACATCTGTTTACTTTAAAAGTGTTTGGTCAACAACTATTAGTTTATTCTAACTTTTAGTTATTGAATTGTGAAAAATTCATTTCTTTTTTTATTTAATGTGGAATAGAGTATTTCAGATATCCCTGAATTAAATATTCATCATTTAAGTTCTTGTCTAATTTTAATGTGTACTCAAACTCTTCTTAACTTTCTTATTTTAAGGAGAATATATCGTTGTCATTATATTACTGTGAGTAATTTTCATTTTAGCTTTAACCACCAGACATTTCTTTGACAATCCTTAATTATCAAATATACCTGTATCCTAACAAGTAATACTACCATCTTTATAAATACTCATTCTTTTATTATCAATGATATCCCATCATTGTAAATAATAATCACTAATGTTCTTGCAGTATTGATTAAGATGTATTCTAACTAATATTAACATCACAACCAGATGATTATTGGGTGGCTCGATGATTAGATTAATTTTATGGTTCTTTGGGGTTTCTCTGAAATGCAACATTCGAGTCTATCAAAATAATAAAATAACAATGAAAAAAGAATAAACAAAAATACCTCAAAAATAAACATTTGATAAATCTTTCCGTGTTAAATAACAGAAAAAGAAAGTTCCAACTAATAAAAAAAAGATGTATAAAAATTAAAATTTATAAAAAAAAAGAAATAAATAAAAAATAGAAATATCCCAATCAAATTATTCATTACTATTCTCTTCTTCATCAGAATCTACTTCTTCCATTCCACACTCTTCACAAGAACAAGCACTATCATCAAAAGTGGTTTTATAAGTAATACCTGAAAAAGTAACAGTTCCTTTTCCAATAACTTGGAAGACAACACGAGATCCAGTTTCAATTTCAATATTTGTTTTAATTTGATACATACCAGCTTTTTCATCTAAAATGCATAATAAAACTGGTTTTTTATCATTTACCATAAAAACTTTAACTGAATTTGATTGATCTTCAGATGGCTGAAGTGCAATATTAAAGAAGTCAAGTGCAAAACCCTCTACTATTTGAACAGTAGCCATATTACCTGCTGGAACAATTTCAACTAGAAGTAAATAACAGTAATAAATAACATTATTATAAAATAGGGCAATTATAAATAAAATAACAAACAATAATTTTCTACTTCCATCTACCCTTTTTTATTTTTTTTAAGTTCTTCTGAGGTTTTTATTTCTCTTTTAAATTTTTTTATTTTTTCATTTTATTTTGACTTTCTTTTAATGAAAAGTTTTGTGTTTTATTTATTTTTATTCCTCTTTATTATTTTGTTTTTCTCTTTCATATTAAAAAAAGAAAAACACAATTTTATTAAATGAAAGAAAAAAAAAATAAAAGGAAAAGGAAAATGAAGAATAGTAAATTTTATTAAAAAGAAACTAAAAAATAAATACTAGGGTATTCATCTGTAAAATAATTGGAGACAGCGAGCTCATGTCAACAAACAATAAAGTCACTGTAATCGATTGCCACGGACACGTTCTTGGTCGTGTTGCATCAGTTGTTGCCAAACACCTTCTTTTAGGACAAAAAATTGTTCTTGTCAGATGTGAAGATCTCCAAGTATGTGGAACACTTAAAATGAGATTAGTTCAATGGGAACTTTATCAAAGAAAGAGAGTTAATACTAACCCAACTCGTGGTGCTTTCCATCATCGTTCACCAGCTGATATGGTTCGTAAAGCTGTTAGAGGAATGCTTCCAAAGAACAACTATAGAGGAAAACTCGCTCTTAAGAATCTTAAATGTTTTGAAGGATGTCCAGCTCCATACGATAAAATGAAGAAATCATCAATTCCAGAAGCTGCTGCTATTTATTCATTCAATCCAACAAGAAAGAGAACTCTTCTTGGAGAACTTGGAACTGCTGTTGGATGGAAATATGCTGATGTTGTTGCTAAGAATGAAGCAGAAAGAAAAGAAAGAGCAGCCAAATGGTATGCTGCTAAACAATTGAAACAAAAGGCTGTTGCTGAAGCTAAAGAAAAGATTCTTGCTGATGAAAAGTATAAGGCTAAAGTAGCTATTCTTAAGAAATTCGGTTATGCTTAAGTCTAGTGGATTTTGTTGTTAAATCCTTTTTAGTGTTATTTCGTTTGGTTTGTTTGTTTTAAAGAAAATTAATATTTTTACAATGAATAATTTTTTTTATTTTAAACTAATTTAAATTATTATTACCATTTCTCTATTAAATTAATAGAAGTTTTTTATATTAATTTTTAATTGGCATTTCTTTGTATTTTTTAAAGGAAATTAATTAATTTCTTTCTTGTTATTATTAAATTCTTAAGTTTTAAAATTATTTAGAATAATATTGTAATATATAACACAAAAAAATTAATAAGAAAGAAATCAATTTAAATCAGTAAGTTCAGATGGGAATTAAAGGACTTTCAAAATTATTGGCACGATATGCACCTAAATCTATGAAAGAAGGAAAAATTGATCAGTATAGTGGAAGGGTTATTGCAATAGACGCAAGTATTCTTGTTTATCAGTTTATTTCTGCTGTAAGAGATACAACTGGAGCTACTATGGTTGATGAATTTGGAGAAACAACAAGTCATATTATTGGAACTTTTTATCGTACAATCAAATTAATAGAAAGTGGAATAAAGCCAGTATATGTGTTTGATGGAAAACCACCAGAAATGAAAGATGGAGAATTAAATAAAAGAAAAGAAAATGCTCAAAAAGCACAAGAACAATTAGACAAAGCACTTGAAGAAGGAGATAAAGAACAAGCAAAAAAGTTAATGAAAAGAACTGCTCGTATGACTAAAGAACAATCGGATGAAGTTAAAAAATTACTTCAATTAATGGGAATTCCATGTGTTGAAGCTAACTGTGAAGCAGAAGGTACTTGTGCTGCATTAGTTAAAGCAGGGAAATGTTATGCAACAGCTACGGAAGATATGGATGCACTCACATTAGGTTCAGAGTATGTAGTAAGGAAGTTTAGTGCAAGTGACAATAAAAAAGAGCCAATAAGGGAATATTCATTATCATCTATTTTAGAAGAGACTGGATTTTCTATGGAACAATTTATAGACCTTTGTATTTTACTTGGGTGTGATTATTGTGACACTATTAAAGGAGTTGGTCCTATTACTGCATTTGAATTAATTCAACAATACAAATCAATAGAAAATGTTTTAAAACATCTTTCAGATAAATATAAAGTTCCAGAAAATTGGAAATACAAAGAAGCAAGAGAATTATTTTTACATCCTGATGTAGCAGATTTTAGTGACTATAAATTAGAATGGAATAAACTTGATGAAGAAGGTATTAAACAATATCTTGTTACTGAAAAACATTTTAATGAAGAACGTGTAACAAAAGGAATTGAAAAATTAAAAAATGTTAAATCAAAAAAAGCACAAGGAAGATTAGATTCATTTTTTAGTGTTAAAAAAGTTCCATTATCTAAATCAGAAGCAGCAAGTGGTGTTAAAAGAAAAAAACCAACAACAAAAGCAAAAGAAAGTAGAAAAAAGAAATAATAAAATTTTTATTATATTTTAATGTTTTAATTAAAAAATAAAAATTTTAATAAAATAATTAACACAATCAAAGTAAAATTAACTGATTTTCAATCAAGGAGTTATAATAAAATCATTAATTAATAAATTTCCTTAATAATCTAATTTTCTTGAAAGTTTTTTACCATCTTCTATCTTCTTTTCACCTTTATAATTAAAACTATGACTCTCAGTATTTGTTTGTTTAATTTTTTTAGTTCTTTTCTCATATTTTGCTCTCATTTTAGTTCTAGAATTTTGTGGTTTTCTTCCTCGTGTTAAACCTCTTCCATGTTCAACAACTTTATCTACAGGTCTATGATAATTGTCAATATCTTTTTCTTCTTTTTGTGCTTTTGTTAATCTTAATTTCCTTTTATTTTCTATTTCTTTATGTAAAGAAGAAGTGGTTTTAATTTCTTCATCTTCTTGATTTATTTTTGATTGTTTTTTGGATGGTTTAATTAATGTAGTAGTTTTTTTCACAATAACATCTTCTTCTCCACTTGCTTTTCTTTGAGACTGTTTCTTTGAAGCTAATTCAGCTAATAATTTTTCTTCTAACTGAACTTCATCACTATCAAAATCATCATTATCTATCCAATTTGCTTTATCTGTTTCATCAATATTTGGTTGATTTACTTTTTGAAGTTCTTGACGTTGTTTGATTTCTTTCATTTCTTCTTCATCGACAAAATCTCCAAGAGCATCTTCCATATCCATATCATTAATATTTATTCCTTCTTCCTCTTCTTCACTTTCTTCCATTTTTTGTTCCTTATTATCTTCTTCTTCACTCATTTCATTTAGACTACTGTTACCTTTTATTTCTGTATCTTCTTCTCCCTCTTCATTAATTTGTTCTTCACTTTCTTTATACTCTTCTTTATAAGTGCCATCATAAAAACTTTTAATAGTTTGTTTACCAATCTTCTTTGTTGTTTCTTCTATATTTTCAAAAAGTTGTTGATAAGTTTTACATGTTTCAACTATCGGATGTTCTTCTCTTCCATCACCTTTACATAATATTTCTATTAACACGTTAAGTATTAATCCACTTTCTACTTTTTCTCTTAATGAAGTAAATTTCCCTAAAACTCCTCCTTCTTTACTTTTTTCAAAAGAAATTTTACTTGCTAATAAAATTCTTTGAAGTAATTCTGGAAACATTTCTTTAATAATCTTAATTCTTTCTTCATCATTTCCTTCAATTTGTACATTTGTTGAATCAATCATTTCATTAAATTTCTTTAACTGAAATTCTTCAGTTTCTTCAGGTGGTGCTTCTTTAGTTTTTTTCATTAATTGTTCAAATTCTTCATCACCACCAAAATCACTTACTTTTAAATTTGATAATAACTCTTTCTGAATACGTTGAGCTTCTTCTGCATCTCCTTCAATAAATTCATCATTTTTTAGTTCTTTGTCCCTTTTCTTTTGATAATAAACATCTGTATTTTTTCCCCAATTGTCTCTATCAATTTCTACATCATCACTTTCTTGTTCAAGTTCCATCTCTTCTTCACTGCTCATGTCTCGTTTTGTTTTTTTTAGGGTTCATTATTTTTTTTTATTTTTTTATTTTTCTTCCTTGTTTGTCATTTTCTTCTTTCTTTTACCATTAATTATTTTTTTATTTTTACCATTGTGATTAAAATGAAAATTATTCAAATAACACAAATTTCATTATAAAAACATAAAAATTTATAATAAAGAACTATAAACAAACCCTAAAAACGCACTTAGAGGAGAATGGCACAGGGTGATTATATTGAATTACATAGAAAGAGGTTTGGAAGACGTTTTGATCATTTTGAAAGACTTCGTAAAAAAAGAGCAAGAGATGCTAAGTTAAAAGCATTAAAAGCAAAAACATTAACTGGAATTAAAGCTAAATTATTCCATGAACAACAACGTAAAGAGAAAGCTGCAATGAGAAAGAAGTTGTCAGTTAATAAAGAAAGTAAAGTTAATCAAAAAATTTCAAATAACGATCATGTTGGAGCTATTCCTTCATATTTGATGGACAGAACTCAAGTATCTAAAGCAAAGGTATTAAGTAATATGTTAAAACAAAAACGTAAAGAGAAAGCAGGAAAATGGGATGTCCCATTACCAAAAGTTAAACCTATTGCTGAATCAGAAGTATTTAAAGTATATAAATCAGGTAAAAGACAAAATAAAGCATGGAAACGTTTGGTTACTAAAGCTACTTTTGTCGGAGAGAATTTCACAAGAAAACCACCCAAATATGAACGATTTATTAGACCTGCAGCTATGCGTTTTACTAAAGCTCATGTTACTCATCCTGAGTTAAAGACAACATTTAATATGAAAATACTTGGAGTTAAAAAGAACCCACAAAGTCCATTATACACTCAACTTGGAATTATTACCAAAGGTTCTATTATTGAAGTAGATGTGTCTGAGTTAGGTCTTGTAACATCGTCCGGTAAGATTGTATGGGGTAAATATGCACAAGTAACAAATAATCCAGAAAATGATGGGTGCATTAATGCTGTTTTATTGGTTTGATTGATATTTGAATTACTTTTTTTTAATACTTATCTTTTTTGTCATTTTGTGAAAAGAAAAGTCAATAAAATGATTTAATATCATCATCTCTTATCTTTGGTAATTACTTTAGACCTTATGTTTCAAAATGAGATTCATCTTTTACAAAATGATGTACCTATTCATAGAAATAAAGTTATGTTGTTTGCAATGTATGTCTCATGTGGTATTTCTTTTGTATTATTAATTATTATGATTATTGTATGCATAGTTCCTGTACATTTACCTTCAAGTCATTCTATGGATAAAAGTATTCAATCATTTAGATCTCTTAACATGACTTTAATGAACTTATTGAATGAGACTCAATTATTAAATGGTTCAGTTAATCGATTAGGCTGTAGAGGTGGTGTGTTGTCTCAGTCATTAAATAGTACGGTGACAAGTCTCTTAGATATTTTTAACAAAGATAAACTATTATTATCTTCTTCAACTGAAACAATAGCAGGACTTATAAAATTATTAGAATTTCTTAAAATTCAAAAATTTGATATTATTATTAAACAACAATTTATTGATCAATTAAAGGCATTGAACCAATACCTTATTAATTTACAAACTCCAGTAAGTCAATTGATTTACAAAATAAATGGTATTGTTTATGATTTTATTGCTTATACTTATCAAATTGATTTTATCTCTTTTCATTTCAATCATTTATTATTAGGTTCTGATTTAGTTAGGTCATTATTAAATCGTTCTTTCAATTTAAGTGATGTATTACTTGAGCACTCCCAGTCAATTCAAAAATATTATTACCTTTATGTCATTATCATTGAAATTTTATGTTTTATTGTTTTGACAATAACATTCTTCTTGGCATTCTTTTTGTATCGCCGTTCTTTTAAAGTAACTGAAGTGTCTGAAATTGATCCATTATTAAGCCATTAACTTAATAAAACTAAGTACTTAATTAAAGAATTTACTAACATCTTTTGCTGTAACAATACTTAGAGATGGTAATGTTTTATATAATTCATCAATAAATGGATCTAAAAACTCACTAACTGATGTAAGATCTTGTAATTTCTCATAACAACTTAATAGTGTTGCAGCAGCTTGAGTTTCTAATGTAAATCCATGCAATGATAATCTTCGTATAATTTCATTTAATGCAGCTGACATTTTACTCAAGTTAAATTAATTTTTATAGTTTTTTAATGGTTTTATTTTAATTCTTAATAGTTTTTAATTTTTTTGTTCTATAAAATAATAAAAAACACATTTTTAGTAAAAATAGATTCAAACATTGTTTTTCCTTTTTCCATATATAAAGAAGTTTCCAATAAAAAGGTTATAAAATTATTTAGGATGACAAAATAGAAAAAAGATATATTAAAAGAAATTAAAGATAACTAAAACTAATACCAAAAAATAATTTTTGCAGAATGCAAAAATTGGATGTAATTATATTAGTGATAGATTCTTCTGTCAGAAAAATAAACAAGGAAGAACAATGAAGAAGTTAGTGATTGTTGACTTGAAATAAGGAACTAACAATTACATACTATTGATGCTAGTCTTTATTCTTCTTATTACATTAAGTTGTGCATCAGAGTATGAAGACTTTTCATTCAATAATTTTAAAGATATTTTGTCATCTAATAAGGAATCAGACAAAAGTTCTTCACTTAAAGATAAAAAGTCTAAGTCTTCTTCTGGTACGAAAACAAAACGTAAAAGTGTTAAACCAAAAAAAAAGAATAAGCCAAAACCAGTTAAAAGGACAAAACAAATTGCAAAGCCAAAGCCAGTCACAAAACCAGTAGCAAAACCAAAAAAGATAAATAAATTAAAAACAGTCGCAAAACCAAGAACAGTCATAAAACCAATTAGAAAACCAATAAATAAATCAGTTAAAAAACCAATAAATAAATCAGTTAAAAAACCAACAAAAAAGAAGACAACTGTTAAGCCATTAACTAAAAGGATGTACGGAAAAAAATCAACTGCAGTTAAAGGATCAACAAAACAAAAAAAGTCAAACATAACAAATAAAAAATCGTCTGGTTCTATGACTAAAGGAAAGATGGGTTCAAAACCTCTTGTTAAAAAAGGTTATAAGGCAAGTAGAAAATCTTATGTTCAACCAAAAAATAAAAAAGAAGTAAAGCAAACTTTCAAATCGACATCAAATAACAATAGATTAAATTCACCTTTTAAATTAAAAACAAACAATGCTCCAAAGAAGTTAAATAGTTCAATAAAACCAACAAACAAATCAAAGTTACAAGATAAAAAGAAATTAAAACCAATAAAGAAAGGGTCAACTGGAAAAAGATTATCTGTTACAAACGCAAAGAAACAAACAACAAGAACTAATTCATTGATTACTAAATCTAGTAAAAATATTAAACCATTAGCTAAGGGGTTATCAGGAAAGAAAGTTCCATACTCTACTATTAAGGGTAATAAAAATATGACTAACACCAAATCTCTTTCAAAAGGAACAACAAGTGTTTCTCAACCAACTAAATCAACGACAAACACAAACACTAAAATTATTAATGAAAAAGGTAAAAAAGGAGTTGAAGCTTCAATCGATTATAAAGGAGATAAGTTATCAACAAGTTCACAAGCAAAATTTGTTAAAGATGGAAATGGAAAGACAACATCTATTGGAATAGAAGGTACTTATCAAGCAAATAAAAATGTTTCTTTTAATGGTGGATTCAATTTTGAAAATAAATATGGACAAAAAACATCAGATTTTACTTTTGGAACTACATACACTGGAAGTAAATTTAATGGAAATGCAAAATATAATATAAAAAGGGATCCAATAGGAAAATCAAGTTCATTCCAATATAATGCAGAATATAGACCTGATAAAAATTTCACTTTTGGAATTAGTGGAAGTAAAGAAAATACATATGGACAAACTACAAAAACTTTTAATGGTAAAATAGGTTTTGTTGGAGAAGAGAAATTAAAAAAAGCTGACCTTTCTTATAACAGAGTAACTAACCCAAGTGGAGTATCAAGTAACATACACTATGACGCTAATTATAAGCCAGATAACAAATGGGCATTCGGAGTAGATGGAGATATTAGTAATAAAAATGGAGAAAAAAGCAATAAATTTAATTTTAATGGACAATATAAATATAAGAAATTAGATGCTAATTTCGATTTAAACCATGTCAAAGATGGAAAAGGTAAATCTAATACTCTTTCTGGCAAATTTGATTATAAAGCATCAGACGCATGGAGGGTTACAGGTGATGGATTTATTTCAAATAACTATGGACAAAAGTCTAATGGACTGAATGTAAAAGCAGACTATAAAAGTACAAATACAACTGGAAGTATTTCAGCTGGATTTAAGAATGACCAAAAAGGTAACAGTAATTATGTTAATGGCAATATTGTTAGGAAAGTTAATAGTAATTTAACATTATCAGCAAATGGTAAAATATCAAATGATTATGGCAAAAAAACAACAGAAATAAATGGAAAGGCTGTTTATAATGGAGATAAATTACAAGCTGACCTTGCTTTAGGGCACAAGAAAGATACAAATGGTGTAAATAATTATATCCAAGGTAACTTTAATTATAAGGCTAATGACAATTGGACATTTACTGGTAATGGTAAGGCCAATAACCAATACGGAAAAAGGTCTAATGAATTTGGTATTGGAACACAATACACTAGTCCTAAATTAAATGCATCTGCTTCATATCAACAAACAAACAACGCAGCAGGAAAAAATACAAAAGTCAATTTGGATAGTACTTACCGTATTAATAATAAAACAGTAGTAACTGGTAATTTAAATACTGTTACCAATAATGGTAAAAGAGACACAGATTATGGTATTGGAATTAAATATAATCCTGACGAAAATTCAACGATAAACGCTAATTTCAAACATAACGGAGTAACTGGTTCTAATGTGTTTGGAATTGGAGGTAGTGTTAAAAATAATAAATTAGATCTTAGTGCTAATGCTGAGTTTGGAAAGAATAATAAAAAAGCCGATCTTACTCTTTCGTATAAGCCATCTGATAAATTCTCTGTTGAAGGTAAAGCTGGTTATACTTATACTAACGGACATGGATCTTCTAATTATGGAGTTGATTTACACTACAAACCAGATGAAAAGTGGGATATCTCTGCTGGTGCTTCTCGTTCTACTGAAGGAACTACTTGGAGTGCTAAAGCTGAACATAAAATGAGTAAAGACTCTTCATGGTTCATTAGTGCTGAAAAAGGACCATCAGGAGGTCCACGATATATGGGAGGTTTACAAATAACCTTTTAATTGAAAACGTATATGTTTAATTTCTTTGTTAATTCAATTTTGTTATTCGATATTAATTTTAAACAAAAAAGTTGTTTTGTTCAAATATTTAAATGATTTTTATTAATATAATTTTGAATAAACCAAGAATTACTTCAACTATATTTATATCTCTTTTGATTGAATTAAACAGATTCTAAAATATTATTATAGCAATTAATAAAGTAAAAAATAATATATTATATTCTAATCTGTTAATTTAATTATTTAAAATAATTTTAACAATAACTTTAAATAAAAAGCAAAAATTAAGTTTTAACAGAATTGGTTTCTATTGTTTCTAGCTCACCAGAGAATTATTCTATCAAATAATCATTCACTAATATATCTATTGAGTATGTTATATGATGTAGAAACAATGTTCCATGACATCCATCTTGTTTTTGATTACAAGGTTTTTGAATTCTTTTATGATGTTAATTTCATTTTTTAATTCTTTAATTAATTTAATACTTTCCGCATTTACTATTTAATTTATTGAAATTAATACTCCATTTATTTTGACATCCTTTAATTTCTCTATTTTAATTATCATATTTTTCATTTCTTTATACTTATTTCTTTTCTTTAAATACACCCATTAGTATTGTGATCTAAAACAATAGTCATATCAAATATTAGATCAGTTTTATTCTTTTTATTTATTACATATATATATCTAATATTTTATGATATTATCAATCACTTTTTGATATTATTTATTTGTTCAATATCATAATGATATCATTGTATTAGAACATTGTTTCATATGTTGATTTCATGTATTGATTATTTTATTTATATTTTCTTATTATCTAATATGATAATACAAATATGGTCATGTTTCTCATTTTATGATTTCTTATGACAAATACAAGATAGTAGAATGTGTTCTATTGTTGATATCTTGTATTTACAAAGTG